TATAACTGTTGCACTCCAAATTTTGCCCTAAGAGTTGTTTGTCTCATCTCGCATTTCATTACATTTTTTTCATTGCATTTTACTAACCGCTGACAGGTTTGCGCAGTTGTTTGGTTTTTGCAGAAAAAGTCGTATTTGCGCGCTCTTTGGTCCATGAAGGGTAAAATGGTCATTTGTTGACAGTCGGCTGTCAATTTGCGAATTTTGAACTATGGTCAGGAAAGTTGGACCGTTGGGTTTGGTTGATGTGAGTTAGGGCCGAGGTGTCGTGGGAATTGTTTGAGTGGGAAAGATCTGAATTGGTGGATTGAAGTTAGTCGGAGAGTTTGCTTATTTTGAGTAATGGACAAATTGGACTTATTCCGATAAGATTGTTCGTTCAGGTTGTCTAAATTTAATCGGAAGTTATATCAGAAGCAGGATATAGTCGGATTGGATGAATTAGGAATTAGGAAAATTTTCATTTAATTTCAAATCAATTACATTTCATTTCATTTTATTTTCACTTATACGTTAAATCAAATTTTGCGCTATGTTAGTTGCATTGACGTTTAAAAATAATTTTGGTTCATTTCCATTTTTTATTATTGCGTCCAAAAATAATTTTATTCTTATTTGTTTCCACTTCAATGTTTATTATTGTGTTCCCATGTTTCCATTCTTAATATCAAGTTTTTATTTTTATTTTTTTATTTCAATGTTTAATTTATGCATTCTTGCATATCAAAAACAAATAAGAACAATTAATAATAAAATTAAAGAGTTTTTATTACTAATACTTATTTCTTTACAAAAATAAAAAAATAAAAAAATAAAATACAAAAAATATCATTTTTCATTTACATAAAGAAAATAATAAAAATAGTTCCTAAGCTCCGAATTCTCCAACTCTTCCTGACTTTTCCGGTTAACGCCCGAACCTGCAAACCAAAGCAAACACAATTTTATCGATTAAGTTTTTCCCGAAACTTTTAGAATATTATCATCATTAGGTGCGTCGGGAGGGTAATGGATTGCTCCGAAACCAGCTCCCGACTTTATTTCCGACATTTCGGTAAATCAAGCAGTTTTTGTTCTTATTCTGAGGCAACCGAGAAAGAGAGATAAAGAAGTGCTTTTGAGAAAAGTTGGATTGGAAAAAGTGCTTATCCAAAAAAAATGCTTATTGGAAAAGCACTTATTTGAAAAAGTATTTTTTTTAGAAAATTGGTTTGCCAAACGTGGCCTTAACAACAACTTTCCAAAAAAATCCTTACTCAATGGATCCAACAACTTTGCAACTTCCATCAACCAACAAGTCAACCGTGAACTACAACAAAGTTCGCAGAACCAGTCAAACCCCAAAACTTCAACAACAAATATCGCAAAAATAACTGGGAGAAAGCAAGCAGTAATGCCACAAACATAACGAATCAAACACGACCAAACGTGAACACGCCAAGTCCCTGAAAAATCTCACCATCTGTCACATTTCTGCGATGATAACTCAGTAACAGCCACTCCAAAAAATCCTCGGTTTTAGACAGAATCACAACAACAACATCGCAGGAAAATCACAAACCCAGCCCACAACTCAAACATAAACAAAATCATATAAATCATCAAGGTTTTCAGATTCGAAGGAAAAAGGGGGGATCCAAGAACCCTAAGCGAAACCCCACAGCGGAAGCACAGCTGGAGATTCAGAGAAGCCTCCAAAAAAACCTCATCATCATCATCCCTTTGAGAAAAAGAAGAAGAAGATTCGAAAACTTACTAACAACAAACGGCGACACAACAACAATAAGAAACACGAAAAAAGTGAAAGGGGGATTCAGAGACCTTTAAGATCCTTCATCACCATCACCCTAAAGGCGGAGACTCAGAGAAACTCGTGGAGTTTCATCATCATTGCCTCAATCAGAAGAAGAGGAAAAGAAGAGTTTTCACAGAATCATAGAACCCATCGCGTCAAAGGAGCTCCGACGGATCCCGACGCAAACAACTGACGAGGCTCAGTTCTTAACATCATCGCCTCCAAGAAGTGCATCAACATCATCATCGAGCTTCGTTACCATCGACCCCACCATCTTCAAACTGAAGGGTAAGATTTGATGGAATTTATTGGTTTCTTTTGAATGTTCTGTTTCAGGAGAAAGGAGGACGAAGATCAACAAAGTAACAGAGAAAGAGATATGGAGCCATGCAAGGTAGATCGAAGGAGCTCGAGGAGTCCTTCAATGGCGCCGCTGCTCTGAGAAAAGCAGAAGGTGAGCCAAACCTAGATGCCAGCATGGAACATGATGCCCCTTTTAGTGGCTGATGGTCTTGTTATTTCACCTATTATATTGTTTTTTTATTATTTATAACCTTTTAATCTTATTTGTTTTATAACATTTTGATCTTTAGTTTTATAACATTTTGAATCACACGAGTTATTTATTTTTCGCACTTTTTTGGGATTTGTAAATCACGCGAGTGATCGTCGCGATGTTTTTCTTTACCGCCTTCTTTATTTTTTCGTATTTTAATACTGCCACTTCATTTATGTTGCATGACGTTATTTTACCGTTAACCCTTCCGAAGGATTAGGTCTAAATCGTTTGACCGCCGAGTCAATAGTCCTAACCCTTGACCATTTCAAACCCTAATAGCCTAGGCATCCCGCCGTGGACGAAAATGCCCTTTACCCTAGCATTAGGTCAAAGAGTCGCCGTACTCTGTTTTAGGGTGTCCCGTCGTGGAACATTTAGTCAACCCTAATTTCAACTAACTATTTCAACGTAGAAATAGGAGTCTCAAGACTCCACATAAGTGTGTCCTTAAGAAACGCTTACTTCCCCTGAAACCTTGACCATAGTCAAGATGTTTCTAACCACCCTTTCGAGGGGAACTACGATTACTCTAATTCCATTCCCTATCCAGGATACATAGGCACTAGATGCGAATCTTGCCGAGTAAACTTAGGACTAACCTTTAGGTTTTTCAGTCACTCTTAACCCTTAGCAGTATACCTTCAAGCACATAATAAAGCAAAATAGTAAACAATGAACAAAAGGTTCCTGTAGAGTACTATAGAAGTTTAGGGTGTTAATACCTTCCCTAAGTTTAACCAACCTCTTACCTAGATCTCTCCCCGCATTGTCTTTACGATGCAAAATTAGGTTTTCCCTCTTTTGACCTTTTGCTTCGAATAAATCAAAGAGCGGTTGTGAACTAAAGATGCGACTCAAATTAATTAATAATTTGAAATCATATTCTAACCGCAACAATAACCATTTGCAGTTAAAATAACTTAGCATACCTTGTTATTATTGCCGGAAGTTCAAGTAAGAGGGAAAACACAGTATTGCTCGACCGACAACTCTCAAAGCTTGTCTGTAAAGTTTGAAGACTCGAGCATGAATAAGAAAATCTTGAAGATCCATACAGAAACTATAAATGGATTAAGACTAAAGTCAACAAATACAGAAGTTCAGGGCAAAACATCAGTGATGCAATTAATCGAACAGGTGGCGTGCGTGTTCATATTAGCTAGTGCCTAGAATTAACAGTAAAATTCTTAAACATAACAGAACATATAATTGATACAAATTATAAAACTACAGTAGATATTCAAAAAGATAGAACCTTTGAGGATGACCATGAGTGAAAGCTTCATCAATCATCATGCTCGATCTGTGGTCCATGTTGACGGCTCGATCTGCATAAACAGAAAGAAACAGGTAAATTAAAAGAGAATACGATTAAAGCATAGCAGGACGACGACATTGTAGGATTTCTAGGAAGAGAAAGGAGAAGGGAGAAATAGAGACGAGGGCGATGGAGTAGCGTTTGATGAGAGAGAGAGAGAGAGAGAGAGAGAGAGAGAGAGAGAGAGAGAGAGAGAGAGAGAGAGAGAGAGAGAGAGAGAGAGAGAGAGAGAGAGAGAGAGAGAGAGAGAGAGAGAGAGAGAGAGAGAGAGAGAGAGAACAGTAAACAAAGGATAAACGGCGACATTGTGTGTCTATTTATTGTAGTAGAAAGGGGAAAAAGCAATTTTAAAGATAGCCAAAGGATAAACGACACATGGCAGCTAGGAAAGGGTTTGTAGAGTGTAAATAAAAAAATTAAGCGAATGATATTGTAATATATTTTTTTTAAATGAGGCTATAACGTTTATATTTTACAATGAGAATTTTTGTTTCAATCTTTACCATTGTTATTAAATCTTACATCCTGTCATAGATCTTGCAAGCTTTGTCAAACAACAATTCTTGTATATGACGGGGGAATTTGTATTTTTTTCTTTTATTTATTTATTTATTTATTTATTTATTTATTTATTTATTAAAAGTAGATTTGTTTAAATTTTGAAATTAGTTTAATTATTATATAATAATAATCTTAATTAATTTAAATTAACCTGATTCCATTAAATTATTAGAAATTTGAATTTAGTTATTTAATAAATAATTTTTTTATCAAGGATTTTTAATTAAGGATATTCTAATATTTTTAAAAATAATTGAAAATATTTTTCTTGTCTATTTTATATATATTTAATACATCAAATTATCTATATTTTTCTCCTCATTCTCTCTTCTCTCACACTCTCTTTTCAATTTCTTGGTTTTGAATTTCAAATATTTCCTGGCCATACTCTCAAACTCACAAGTCAATTTAATATTTCTTGATCTGACTCTCGTTCTTGCGAATCCGATGAACTTGGTCCGACGGTGTACTTAGATAAGAATGAGGAGAAAAATCGAAAACTGTGATTGAAATTTGATGTTGATTGAAGTGGTTGGATTAACGCCGCTTTGACTTATCACAAAAGAAGAAAAACAACCTTGTTAGTTCTCCATTGACGCTGTTCAGGTTCATACATTATTATTGTTCACCATCTACCCTAATTTCATATTAGCATTGTTCAAATTCATGAATATCATTTATGATCAATCTTACTTATTTATCTAATTTTTCCTTGCGTTATAGGCTTTCAGTTTCACAGAAACTTGGTTTTGACTTTTACAATGGCAATGGCATTGGCTTGCAATACGCTCCAAAGTGGCTCTACACCTAGGATGAGATGGAAATATGATGTGTTTGTGAGCTTTAGAGGTGAAGACACCCGCAACAACTTCACTGATCACCTCTTTGGCGCTTTCCATAAGAAAGGTATTATTACCTTCAGGGATGATACAAAGCTCAAGAAAGGGGGACATATATCATATGAGCTTCTACAAGCCATTGAAGGATCCCAAATTTTGATTGTTATTTTCTCAACAAACTATGCTTCTTCCACATGGTGCTTGCAAGAACTCGCAAAAATTGTTGAGTGCATTGATGTTCCAGGACAATCTGTTCTACCTATTTTCTATGATGTGAGTCCTTCTGAGGTAAGAAAACAAAGCGGAGATTATGAAAAATCCTTTCAAGAGCATGAAGAAAGATTCAAAGCAACTTTAGAGGAAGTGCAAAGATGGAGGAGAGCCCTAACACAAGTAGCCAATCTCTCTGGTTGGGATGTAAGAGATAAGTGTAAGAATTGAATTCCCTGCTTCTCATTGATATTCTTTGTCCTAATATACAAGTGTGAATATCTCTATATTTGAAAGCTAATAATATACAGTTATTATTATACTAATTAGAATATATCCTAATAACATACAATTATGATTATACTAATTATAGATATATTCTAATACTCCCCTGTAGTTGAAGCGGGAGGTGGACGGACGCTGAGACTTTCTCTGAAGTCTTGAAAGAGTATAAGGGGAAGTCCTTTGGTGAAGATGTCTGCAATTTGATGTTTGGAGGGTACATGGAGAACCCGGACTTGACCCCGAGCGACCTTTTCACGAACGAAATGAATGTCCATCTCAATGTGTTTCGTTCGTTGATGTTGAATCGGGTTACCTAAGAGGTAGATGGCACTGACGTTGTCACAATATACTATGGTTGCCTTATGAATAGGACAATGTAGTTCAAGCATACAGTTTCGTAACCAACATGATTCAGATACCACGTTGGCTACACCACGGTATTCTGCCTCAGCGCTGGAACGTGAAAGTGTAGGTTGTCGTTTAGATGACCATGAAAGTAAATTGTCCCCAAGAAATACGCAGTAGCCAGAAGTGGAACGTCGAGTGTCAGGACAGCCACCCCAATCTGCATCTGTATAGGATATTAATGAAGTTGTAGATGAGGGATATAGATGTAAGCCGTAGTGTTTTGTGCCCTGAATGTAGCGTAATATCCGGCGTAGAGCATGCATATGGGTGTCCATCGGCTTATGCATAAAAAGACAAATTTGTTGTACTGCATAGGAGATATCAGGTCGTGTGAAGGTAAGATACTGAAGGGCACCTACAAGACTACGATAGAGGGATGGATCCTCGTATGGGACATTATGCGTGGCACTCATCTTTGGTTTTGTATCAACTGGAGTTGGACAAGTTTTGCAGGAAGACATTCCTGCCCGTGAGAGGATGTTTTCAGCATATTTCTTTTGTGAGAGGAATAGGCCATGCTTATGGCGAGTGACAGCAATACCCAAGAAGTAGTTGAGATGTCCTAAGTCTTTCATAGCAAACTCGGAGCTGAGGAGAGATATGATGGACTGCCGCAAAGTATTAGATGATGTGGTGAGGATGATGTCATCTATATAAAGTAAGAGATATGCTAGATGAGAGTCTTTCTTGTAGATGAATAGAGATGGATCGCTTTTGCTTTGATAGAAACCAATCGATGAAGCATAGTCGGCGAACCTTTGGTACCAAGCTCTAGGGGATTGTTTAAGCCCATATAGAGATTTGCGAAGACGACATACATGATCAGGATGTTTGGAGTCTCGGAATCCTAATGGTTGGTACATATACACTGTTTCTTTGAGTTCACCATGGAGAAATGCATTCTTGACATCCAACTGATGAATATTCCAAGATTTTGAAATGGCAAGGCTGAGAACAATGTGAATGGTAGCCGGTTTGACAACGAGGCTAATGGTTTCTCCATAATCAATGCCAACCTGTTGACCTGCACCATCACCTACAAGTCGGGCTTTATGCCTCTCAAATGAACCGTCAGATTTTTCTTTTTGTCTAAAAATCCACATAGATCGAATAACATTAACATCAGGTGGTCGTGGCACTAAATCCCACGTCTCATTTTTAATTAAAGCATTATATTCATCATGCATGGCCATTTTCCAATTAGGGTTCTTGAGTGCAGACACTGGATTTCTAGGGAGAGGGGATTTTGTGACATGAGTGTGGAGACTGTAATATTTTTGGTTTGGCTTAAAGATGTCGTGTTGACTTCTAGTGGTGGGTTTTGTGTTGGCTTGGGAGGTAGGTTGGTAGATGGGAGGAAGATTATGTGGCAGAGTATGATTTGATTATGTTGGGAGAGGTGATGAGTGTAAGGTTGAGGTTGGATTTGATTGGGGTGTATTCGGCAAGGTTTGGGTGTGGGCCGAAGTATGGGAAGTAGTTTGAGTGGTAGATGAGATCGGTGGATTGGATGTAGAGTTGTTTTGGTCTTAGGTTATAATATGGTTGATGAGGTAAGGGGATAAGTCATTGTCTAGGAAGGTGTAAGTGGTAGATTGAGGGGTGTGCAGCTTTGCATATGGGAAGGTAGACTCATCAAATAATACATGACGACAAATGATAATTTTGTTTGTGGTCATATCTAAACACTTATAACCACGATGGTTGGACGGATACCCAAGAAAGATGCATGGTATGGAGTGTGGTTGAAGTTTGTGGATGGTACTTGAGGGAAAGAGAGGAAAACATAGACAACCAAAGATACGCAGATGAGAGTAGGATGGGTTCTTGTTGTATAACATGTGGAGAGGTGACCAAAACTTAATTGGTTTACTGGGCAAAATGTTGGAAAAATATGTGGCCATTTCTAGAGCATAATGCCAAAATGAAGGTGGTAGGGATGCATGAATTAATAAAGTTCGAATAATGTTATTAATAGACCGTATTTTTCGCTCGGCTTTACCGTTTTGAGAGGAAGTGTAAGGACAAGAGAGACGAAATGATATTCCATTAAGTTCACACATTTGTCGAAAATTCTTAGAAATGTATTCGCCACCATTATCACATTGAATAGTTTTGATTTCCCGTTGAAATTGAGTTTTGATATAAGCTCTTAATTTTTGAAAGATGGGATAAACTTGAGATTTATGAGACATTGGGAATGTCCACAAAAAATTCGAATAGTTATCCAAAAATAAAACATAATATTTGTGACCTATTGAGCTTAACATGGGAGATGTCCAAACATCACTATGTAGAATGTCAAATGGCAACGAACTATTATTAAGAGAATTTTTGAAAGGCAATTTGATATGTTTACCAAGAGGGCATGAATTACAAAAATGAGAATGTAATTTACTGGGTGTATTACATTCAATCAACTTATTTTTGCTAAGAAAAGACAAAACATGTTCGCCCAGGTGTCCCAGACGATTATGCCAGACAGATAACGACAAAGTTGCAAAAGTGGATGGATGATTAGTTGTATTTGTGGTATTGTCATTGGTGATGGGATAAAGGTCACCTTGGCTTTCACATATCATGATAGGCATCCCCGTCTGAAAATCCTTCACAGAAAAGCCAAACGGGTCAAATTCAACTGAAACTTTATTATCTGTAGTGAATTTTCGAACAGACATTAAATTTTTAATTAAATTTGGAGCGTGAAGAACATTGTTTAGTACAAGAGGTGGGTGGGGGTTAGCTAAATGTGTGCTGTCAAGACCATGAATTGGAACAGAATGACCATTTCCTACAATGATGTTATTATCTTTACTTAATTTAAAATAGGACGAGAGATTACCTTGCGAGGAAGTCATGTGAGAGGTGGCACCGGTGTCCATGTACCATGACGGGTCAGGCTGGGCAAGGTTGAGGGTGCTGAAAACATGTTCAATATCTGTTGGACTGGTAGTGTTGGCATTAAAAGAAGCTTGCTGAGGTTTGGGGCCAAGAATTCCACCTTGTTGGGGTTTAGGACCATTAGTGGGTCTGTTCCAATTGGATGTTGGGTAAGGGCAAGGTGGGTAATTCCAAGGTCCCCATTGTTGCCAGGGAGGGTAATTCCATGACTGCCACTGTGGTTGTTGTTGTCCACGGTTTCCTCTCCCAGAATTTCGGCCTCCATGGTATGGTTTCTTTCCTCTTTGACTGTGATTGTTGGACGGATGTGGTTGCGGGTTCAGAGATGAATCTTGTTGTTTGATTGCAGGTTTAGTCGAAGGACCTTTAGCCAAGAGGGCGGCCGAGATAGAGGATGAGTGTGTTTCGCGGGTTGCGTGCTGCATCATGGTGGTTTCCTCGAGTTCCAGTCTCGATCAGGCGGCTGCAAAGGTGGGTAGAGGGTTGTGTTACTGGATAAAGGTGACAAAACCAACATATGAATTTGTGAGCCCGGATATCATCTTGAGAACTAAATGTGTGTTGGTGACTGGAGAGTCCACGTTTGCGAGTTGATCCGAGAGAGTTTTAAGGCGAGTGCAGTAAGCTTTTGTTGATGGAAAATCTTCCAGGTTTGTGTTACTGAATTGATTTTCCAATTGCACGGCGCGAGAGTGTTTGTTGTCATGAAACATAGCGGCTATGCGCTTCCAACACTCTTCTGCAGTGTTGTCTACGACTAGGATGGATTGCAGAATATCCTGCGATACTGTTGCGTACATCCATTGCAACACTACTGCATCAAGGCGATTCCAAAGTTCAGAATCGGCAGCGTTAAGTTCGGCTGATGCTTGTATGGTCTAGACTTTCGAAGGCGGAATAATGTGATCAAGAATGTTGTGAACGCGTGCCTGCACTTTGAATAGGGCAGACCAGGAGAGGTAGAGATTAGAATCATTTTCCAACGTCACCGGGATGATGGTTTTGACGTTGTTGATGGCGAAAGCAGAGTGGAATTTGGATGTTGCCGCCTGAGAGGGGTTGGATTTTGAGGGTGATGAAGTTTCATCAGATGTTCGAGAGTGAGAGCTTTCTTCTGCCATGGTAGAACAGAAGGCGTGCGGCGTCTGGAAAAATTTGTAGGGTTAGGAATGTGATAAATATGATACCATGTAAGAATTGAATTCCTTGCTTCTCATTGATATTCTTTGTCCTAATATACAAGTGTGAATATCTCTATATTTGGAAGTTAATAATATACAGTTATTATTATACTAATTAGAATATATCCTAATAACATACAATTATGATTATACTAATTATAGATATATTCTAATAATAAGTAAGTTGTCTTTTTTGTGTTTGCACTAAGTTGAACTATTCAATTATTTACACAAGAGTGAGCAATATTTTGTTTGTGAATAAATTTTGTAGTTTTTTTGTTTAGAGCTGTCATGTGATGATTTGTATTCCTGTCCTTTGGTCTTTTAGGCCACAATATGCAGAGATTGGGAAAATTATTCAAGAGGTAACATGCTTATTGGGAAACAAATATTCAAATTTACAAAGTGATTTAGTCGGGATGCACTCAAGAGTGAAACAATTAGAAAACCTTCTGATTTTGGACTCGGATGATGATGATGGTGTTCGAGTTGTAGGGATTTCTGGAATGGGTGGAATAGGGAAGACAACTCTCGCTACTGCTTTGTATGATAGAATCTCCAATCAATTTGATGCTTGCTGCTTTATTGATGATGTAAGTAAAATTTACGGAGACCATGGCCCAATTGGAGTACAAAAGCAACTTCTTTGTCAAACTCTAAATGAAGAAAATCTTCAGATATGCAATCTTCCTATGGCATCTAATTTGATTCAAACTAGGCTATGTCAAATAAAATCCCTCGTTGTTCTTGATAATGTGGATGAAGTTGAACAACTGGATAAATTGGACATGAAACGAGAATGGCTAGGCACAGGGAGTAGAATAATCATAATTTCTAGAGATGGGCACATCTTGAGAGAGCATGGAGTAGATGAAGTATATAGAGTTCCACTCATGGATCGTAAAGATGCCCTTCAATTGTTTTGTAGGAAAGCTTTCAAAAGTGCTGACATCATGAGTGGTTACATATACTTGACATATAAAGTACTAGCCTATGCCAATGACCTTCCACTAGCAATTAAAGTGTTGGGCTCATTTCTTTATGGTCGAGACTTCTCTGAGTGGAGAAGTGCATTGTCAAGATTAAGAGAGAATCCAAGGGCAGAAATTACGAATGTACTCCGAATTAGTTTTGATGGACTAGAGAATACAGAAAAGGATATATTTCTTGATATTTTGTGTTTCTTATGTGGATGCCATGAGACATACGTCAAGAAAGTTTTAGATTTTCGTGGATTTCATCCAGAAATTGGTTTAAAAGTTCTCATTGATAAATCATTCATAACCTGTAGGAAACGGATAATTTGTATGCATCCCTTGTTAAGAGAACTGGGAATGAGTATTGTTAGAGAAATATCGCCCAAAGAACCAAGAAAGTGGAACAGGTTGTGGGACTACAAGGATGCCCATAGTGTTATCTCAGAAAGCATGGTAAAATATTTATGGAAATAAAATTATTGCTTGCCTTTTTTTCTTTAAAGATTAATAACATTAAAGTCTCTATGATCTTTTATGTCATGTGCAATACTGTAGGCAACCGAAAACCTCGAAGCCATAGTTCTGCATCCCTATCCAGAAAAGATCAAGGAAATACAGACGATTCTCAGGAATTTCTCAGGAAGTCTCAATTTTCTTTCAAGTGAATTGGGGTATCTACATTGGGTTAATTATCCTTTCACTAGTTTACCATCAAATTTTCATCCATATAAACTTGTTGAACTGATCCTACATCATAGCAACATTAAGAAACATTGGGAGGGCACAAAGGTACTATACAAATGGTTATGAGTCATTATATTTATTCTTTCACCGCAGTTAATATGATTTTGATTTATCTCTTTCTATTTTTCATTGCCTGCAGTCTCTACCTAATTTGACATTTATTTATCTCTCTCACTCGAAAAATCTTATTATGATGCCAAATTTTGAGGAGATTCCAAATCTCGATGTCGCTACTGCGAAAATCGGCGCCGGCTGAATAGAAGAGTCACCACCGTGTGTTATTTATCCCAACGGAGGGAAAGGAAACGCTCGAAGTAAACCTAACGCAACGAGGGAAAGGAATGGTCATCGCAACCAAATCCTGGATTCGGGAGTCGGTTACGCAAGAGGAAGGTATTAGTACCCCTCACGTCTGTCGTACTCGACGGGATCCACGCTTGTTTTCTAGTACGGATTGTTATTCTATCTACTCTACAGGTCTGGGGGTTAAAAGAAAATGAAAATGACTTGGCAAAGTATCGCACTTTATGCCTACGTATTCCCGTCTGGAACGAGAAATCAGAGTCAACGTAGTTCGCCTACCTACGGGAAAGGAGGGGAAGATTGCTCGCTCGGATATCGCATCCTATGCCTACGTACTTTCATACAGCATGAAAGATCAGAGCAAACGTAGTTCGGGCTACGGAAGACACAAGTTTGTCTGACATTTTTATCTCCTTAAGAAAGGGTTTCCCTGATTAAAGGTCCAAGAGGACAAAATGACACTTTGATGTTTATTTTCAGTCTTTTACGCAAGAAATGTCTTTTATGATGTTCGCAATCTCTGACACACTAGAGACTATGATTTGAGAGTGACTACGTCGTATGTCACCCTAAGGGTAACACACTAAGCAATCAGATGACTGAAGAGTGACCCTCCAGCAACCTTTCTCAAATAGCTTAAGGCTCGTAGCGTACGACGTCGATTATCCTTATTATTGTGTTTTGAATTGTTCTGAGATAGAGGAGAAAGAGGTCTAAAAACCTAGGGTTTGAAAGGGAAATCAGAACTACCCTAATGTTATCATGCATGGATTACAACCTAATGTCTGTCATATTTCCCTCTTGCACAGAGAGAAACAGAGATCCTAGGGGATAAACGGAAAAGAAACAGCAGATATACAGTAAACAGTAAATATGCATGAGATGCAACAAAACAAGCGAGACAAGGGAGTACCACTCAACCTCGAACCTAGGAAAACAATAGGCAAAGTGAACAACTTCACTTCAAACCTAAGGGGCAAGCTGAACAAACCAACAATCAATACAGAAAAAGAAATAAAATCCAACACCAGCTCTGACAGCAACACCAGCTCCTACAGTAAGTAGTTTAAACAACACCAGCTCCGACAGCTACAGTTGATTAACAGCAAAAAGGTTGATAGTAACAACTTCAAGCAAGATCCCATCTTTACTTTCCAATGATATTCAAGCTTCAGGTAAGCTCTTATCTCCAATAATCTTCAGCTTTAGCAAGCACTGAACCCTAACCAGTAAACAGCTTCAAACAGCAGCAAAACCCTAATCTTCAACAGATATCCAGCTTTGACAGGCACAAGCTTCATCTTTACCAGTCTTCAATGCATTTCTTATCTCCAATGGGCTTCAGCTTCAATGCAGACACTCACAGGAGAGAATCAACTTAATAGAGGAAGTTGGAATGTTAAGAGGCTTAGTGAAAACCCAGGGAAATCACTAAGATCTTATCATAGCAAGGGAGAGGTATCCTCAAGGTTCTACCCAATCAAAGCATGCTCTACATCTTTCCTAAGGAGAGATGGAACTTATTTGGGGGACCTTATGTCATAGGATGGAATAGAGGCACAAGAAGCTCTCTATGTTTGACAGAAGAAACCAGTCTACTCTAAAGCTCTCCCTATATCTCATATCTCCTAAGTCTTCAACAAGCAATCTTCAAGCACAAGCAACTTCAAGCTCCAAGCATCATCATTCTTTGTCTCCAATCATCTCCAAAGTCTTCAGGAGCTCCAACTAGCCAAACCCAATCCCAATACCCAAAGAAATGCCCAAAAAACCAACAAACAGAACAACATCCCAAGAGGGAAATACACCAAGAACAACCAATTTGCAAAAATCAACTAAAATGGAAATACTCATCATAAAATCCTAGATTAAATTCTAAGGGACCCTAACTATGTACCCTATACCCCATATAAACCTCAAGGCCTAAATCAAACTAAAAAACCCAAAACTATGTGTTGAATGCACCTATGTCAAGTTGAAACCCTAATTCTAGCATACTAAAGTTTGATGTTCAAAACTAACTAAAATTAAATCACAAAAATGTGATAAAATTCCATGGGGAACCTAATACTATATTCTAACTATAGCAAAATGAATGGCACCAAAAATCAAAGTGAAATGATCATACTAAATTCAACAAGTTGCATTGTCAAATGAAAATGAAATAAAAGTAATTAAACTTGTAAAAATTCCATAAAAATGAAAAATGCATGAATTAATCTTTTTATTATTTTATTATTTTATTATTTTCTTGAGGTCTTGATGAAAATGGGGAAAAAACTCCCATCTAAAAATATGAATTTTCCAATTAGTTATTATTTTTCTAAACAACCTAAATGAAATGAAGAATTAAAATGAAAATAAAAGAAAATGACAAGGATGCGTGTCAGATAGCAATTGAGACTAGTTCAAATCATCAACTGGGCCCAGAGGGGGGTGTAGATAGCCAAGCGCGCATTAGGCCCAGTTACATCAGAAATTAAATGGAAAAGTAGAAAGAAAATAAAAAACAATGGTACGAATAGCAAGCCAATTACGTGTAAAACCTATTGGGCCTCTGAAGTGGGGTGGGATTATCAATTTGCACTTAAGCCCAAGCTGGCAACTTAATGAAACGGTGCGTATTAGTAATCTGAGTCTTCTTCACAAATTGAAACGCAACCACAGCCATTGGATTCTATTCTAGTCAAAGTCTAAACTTAGATCCTATGGTTGTAAAGTCATCTTCAACCTTCAAATTCTGGATGGAGGGGAAAAACCATGGAAGAACAGCTATGAACTTCATCTTCTCCAAGTCGTGCTCCCTCAATTCTTCATCAAAGATCAAAACTAAAAGCCCTAATCCACTCCAAATTTCACCAGCAATTCAACCATGGCATCTAAACACATTGAAACATCTTCCTCCTCAAAACATGATTGAATTATCAGAAACTGCTCAGAAATTGATTCTCACCAAACCTAAAATTGAATGGCCTAAACTCTTCACCACTTCACCCTGATCAATTCTAGCTATCAAACTAAGATTCTATCATCAAGAACACGAAGATATGATCATGAACAGAAATTGCATCAACCCACTAATTGTCTCTAAATCAATTCTAATGCTACCAGAAAGCTCCCTATGATCATCTACATTGAATCTAACTATTCAAAACCGACCGAAACTGCCTAAATCAAGCCATGGAGTGAAGTTTACATACCTGCAATTTTGAGATGAACAGAGTGATCAAAGCTTCAAGATGAGCTCCAATAAGTTCCAGACACCTTCACCAACACCAAAGGATGCTTCTGTATGCAAAGAAAGGGATTGAAATGGCTTGGATTCTTGAATTCGATCTTGAGTTGCAGATGAAAAATTCCAAATGCTATCTCACAATTCTTCAATGCTCTTGCTATGGATTCTATCTGGACTCATCCACCAATGCTAGAGCAAGCTTCTGAGATCAAAAGAATGGATTGAAAGTGGTTGAAACCTGTAACTGAATTCTGTTTTGCAAATGGAAGGTTGAAAATGCAATCTCTCCAATCTCCCTCAATTATCTCCAACTCTTGCTCTGAATCACTTCTAATGTATATATAGAATATGTTTGAAAGTTCTGGAAACCTCTGGATCAATCCAATGAGAAAATCAAATTCTCATGTCATGAAAATCTCCTTTCATGCTTGCACTCATACCAGCTCATGATAGCAGCTTGTATTCACCTTTTTCTGAGTCTAATTTGTCTTCTAATGAGATATTGAATATGTTAGGATGTACTAAAGCCTTGGTTATTCCCTACAAAGTGATTTTGCATATGTGCCTTATGATGCAAGTAACCAATTTACAAAGCAAGTCATAGAAATATCCCTCAACTCAAAAATGTGGCAATGTCAATGTTCTCAAAATGTGTTTTACAATCAAATTGGTATGCCATATGGCTTGGTTTGGATTTGTAGATCAAAAACCCCAATTTTCAACTTTGGTTTATTTAAAATTCACCCTCATTTTAGGCCATTTTTGTGATTTTGTGAAGCAAGCCATTACAAACTCTCATGACCTCTTCCCTAGCCTAAAAACATCATTTTGAACACATCTCATGTTGAACATTTTTTCATTTGAGGAGTGGAAGATAGAGATTTTGACCTATGTTGAAAAGTGACCTGTAATTCAACTTTCCCAAAATACCCCTGGGTTGCCAAGACCATAACTTGAGTTCCACAAATCCTCTTGAGGACTTCTAGTACTCAAATTAAAGCTAAGATCAATTTCTACAACTCTTATGTTGGCCAAGAATCCATTTGAAAACTCCTTGATGGGAAAACGTTGCTTGGAAGTCAAGTGACTTTCACAGATAAATTTCAGTGTCCTCTGGAGACCCATAACTTGCAAGAACCATAACTTGAGTTCTATAAATATTCTTGAAGACTTATAGTACTCAAATTAAATCTATTGAGAATCTATACAAGTTTCATGTTGGCCAAGAGTCCATTTGAAACTTGCATTTTGACTTATCTGGCTTGGAAGTGAGGCCTAAATTAGGGGATTTTACACTGAAACCCTAATTTGGTAACTCCTCCTACTCTTGATTCTCTTTGATTTATCCTTGGAACAACACCACACTTGTATCCACATATCAATTCATGAATCCCACTCAATTGACCTAGGGTTGACCCAGATGAAACCCTAGTTGACTGCACTTCAACTGTGGCTCTTGTACTTGAATCAATGACTTGTCTCATCTTCAAAATGACCCTCTAGGTCTTCCATGATCTTTGTGCACATTCCATACCCTCAATTTGTAGTTCATACTCCCTTGATGATACTCAATATACCTCAAATTAGGAGAGAAATCCACTGGTTGACCCTCAAACTTTTCAAAGCTTCAACTCATTTCTTGATTACTTGGATGGTCTTGAACTTGAATAAAACCCCTTGATGTGCCTCTTTCTGATAAGAATGACACTTGATCCCTT